CATATTGCAAGCGTTACACGATCGCGTTACATTATCAGCACCAATACTTGTTTAATAATTAAATAATGTCTATAGAAACACAATTTTCATTTATACTGTTAAAAAATGCTTAAATGAGTATAGATTAAGGTCCAGAATATCTGTCAGGGGACCTGTATTAATAGTAGATTATCAGAGGTCACGTTTATACTTCGCTCGATAACATCTTAATTGGTGTGTTGAAGAATGGGGTGCGGTGTTCTTCACAGATGAACTAAGATTTACCAGGTACTCATGTACTTGGGGTGTAGAATTGTGCTTTAGAGGTAGTACCTTTTATCGGAACGACCACATCGAGCGTCATAGACGGGAGATGGTTCTTGATAACTGGTGCTCATAAGACAACTAACTTTCACTTATGGCTCCACGTGCCACACCCCGGGCAACTGCATTGGTCTGCAGGCTAAACTAAGTGAGGGTAGCCAGATATGGCGACAATTCCACCGAGCGATTGCCGGTATAAGCAATCCCACACTTACCTACCAACGGCTTCGGGCGGATGAGTTGGTAAGTGGCAGGGCACTCTTTTGTCCTGAGATAGAGAAATCTGTCTCGAAGGCGGATGAATCAAGGAATTGTCAACGGCGTAAGCATACAGAAGGCAACGGGAAACCACTGTATTAATGATCTTTAAGATTCCCTAGTATAATCATGATGGCAAATGTCACATCAATCACTCATGTTACTGATCATGGACCTCGGAACCCAAGATCCGGCAGGAGAGGAAAACCACAGACAGACCATAGGGCCTCTCAGGTCGTGAACCAGCGAAATCCCTGTGTAAGTAATATCAATCACCTTAAGATATTAAGAATAGCGACGTGGAATGTAAGAAAATGCACAAATAACAGTGGAACACTTTATTATTCAGGCACCATCAGTTTAACTCATCGTTACGGTGTCGCTGTCTTGGTATCAAAGAAAATCAGTAACTGTGCAACAAGCTTTACTCCCTTCTCTGATAGAATAATGACACTACAACTTCAGTCAAATAAACAAATTATAAATATTATACAAGTATATGCTCATACGGCTGATAAAGATAATGATGAAATTGAAAGTTTCTATTACGACCTGGAACAAATTCTAAAATCAATGAAGAAACATCATACTACAGTAGTAATGGGCGATTTTAATGCCAAAATTGAACATGGATGTGTGGACGGTTATGTGGGTGACTATGGATTAGAAGAACGAAACGAACGAGGAGACCGTATGGTACAATTTTGTCAAGCGGAGGAGTTAGTAGTTGCTAACACTCTTTTCAAGTTACCTAACAGACGACTGTACACATGGAAATCTCCGAGTGACACCAAAGGTAGAGTAATCAGAAACCAAATTGACTTTGTCCTTGTTAGTCAAAGATTCCGCAACTCTATACTCTCAGCTAAAACCTACCCAGGAGCAGATATAGGCTCGGATCACAATCCTGTAGTAGTCACATTAAGAATAAAACTAAAGATCATTAAAAAACACATACAGAAACAAATTGACGTGAGAAGACTGAATGAACAACATATAAAAGAGAAAACAATAGTGAACATCAAAGAAAATTTACAAAATATAGAGAAACTGAATAGAAATACTGATAACATAGACCAAAAATGGGAGAATATTAAACATGCCGTAATGTTGGCAGGGAGAGAAAATTTAACACCGAAAGAAAGGAAACATAAAGAATGGATGAATGAGGAAATACTACAGTTGATGCGTGAAAGAAGGGTACACAAAACAAATAATCCGATAAGATACAAAGAAACAGATAAACTGATAAAAAAGAAAATAAGAGAAGCTAGAGAAAGATGGCTAAGTGAGCAATGCCAGGAGTTGGAACAATTGGAGCGAAAATATGACTTTTTTAATGAACACAAAAAGATTAAAGAAATGACAGGAAGGAGAAGAACAACACAGACAGGACAGATCAAAGATACAGATGGTATAATTATAACAGATTTACAACAAAAAATGAATCGATGGACAGAATACATATCACAACTGTTTGATGATAAAGATAGACAAGAAATCTCAAACGAATATACAGATGATACTGGGCCTGATATAATCAGAGAAGAAATAGAATATGCAATCAAACAAGCAAAAAGTGGTAAGGCCCCCGGTCCTGATGAAATTCCCGTAGAACTGCTCAAACTTATGGACGATGAATCTATTAAAATACTCCTAGATCTATTTAACACAATATATAGAACTGGAATAATACCTAGGGAATGGCTCCGTTCGACCTTTATACTACTGCCAAAAAAAGCAAATACAAAGGAATGCAACGAATATCGTACGATAGCTTTGATGAGTCATGCTCTAAAACTGTTCTTAAAAATAATCCATAATAGGATCTATAGGAAATTAGACGTAGACATCATTAACACTCAGATAGGATTCAGAAAAGGGCTGGGTACAAGGGAGGCTCTGTTTGCAATGAACGTTCTCTCACAGAGATGCTTAGACATGAACCAAGAAATTTACGCCTGCTTTATTGATTTCGAAAAGGCCTTTGACAAAGTACAACATGAACCACTAAGACAAGTTCTAATAAAGAAAAATATAGACAGCCGAGATATTCGAATTATATGCAATCTATATTGGAATCAAACAGCAAATGTCAAGGTTGAGGGCAGACTAACAGAAGAAATTCAAATCCGTCGAGGAGTCCGGCAGGGATGTATCTTTTCGCCACTTTTAGTTAATCTGTATAGTGAAGCTATCTGTAAACAAACACTCGAGGAAGATCTTGGTCTGATAATAAATGGTGACACGATCAACAATATAAGGTATGCTGACGATACAGTTCTCCTAACGGGAACGCTAGTAGAACTACATCTCGTTCAAAGTCTCAATATATACGTTACGGCTTGAAAATTAATTTGAAAAAAACTAAATATATGGTAATCACGAAATCAAAGAACATCAGAGCTAATCTTGTAATAGACAATACAACGATTGAGCGTGTGCCCTGTTATAAATATCTAGGTGCTTGGATCACAGACGATACTGATCAAACAAAAGAGATTAGATGTAGAATAGAAATCGCTAGATCAGTCTTTAATAGAATGCGCAAACTCTTTTGCAATCGTGATATCAATATAAAGTTACGAATACGAATGCTGCGGTGTTACGTCTTTTCTACCCTGTTATATGGAGTTGAGGCTTGGACACTAAAACAGTTGACCATAAAAAACATCGAAGCTTTCGAGATGTGGTGCTATAGGCGCATTCTCAGAATATCATGGATGAACCGCGTCACTAACACGCAAGTACTCCAAACTTTAGACAAAAGATGCGAAATTCTAAATGAGATAAAAACTAGAAAGATGGAATACTTGGGGCACATTGTGAGAGGTGAAAAGTACGAACTTTTAAGAAACATCATGCAGGGCAAAATTAAGGGCAAAAGAAGTGTGGGAAGAAGAAAAATACCGTGGCTTCGTAATCTACGTGAATGGTTCGGGTGTAGTTCGATTGAACTTTTTAGGCGCGCTGCTAACAAAGTCGCAGTGGCCATGATGATTTCCAATCTCCGCTAGGAGTGGCACGAGAAGAAGAAGAAGAAGAAGAAGGTACTCATCCGATTGGTGGCCTACGATTTAGAGAAGAGCTAGTGAACATTGTCATCGGTTGTTTTATTCTCAGTATTCAATTTGTTGTAGGTCGTATAATGGTGTTTGCAGGTATTTCCCTAGAGGCTCATACAGAACTTTTTACAATTCAAGGGGTCAATTTAAGTGCTGAAAGGTATAATGAACAATATTTGGAAGATCATGTAATGTTATTTGCCCCATTTGTTGAAGGAAACTTTCGTCTGATGCAAGATAAGACTTCTCCGCACATTACAAGAATAACACGAGATTACTTGGATGAAATTGGGAGTCCTTTATTATCATGACCCCAAGGAGTCTAGACTTAAATTTAATAGAGCATACACTGGATATGATTAGACTAGGAATGGCCCGAACCGCAACTGCTAAATTAATTAAAATATGGAAAGACCGAACAATAACAAGGAATACTAAGCTTAGGTTGGTCAATGCCCTTATTTTTCCCATTGCTACATATGCAGCTGAAACATGGACTCTCAAAAAAATCGATAGGAGTAAGATCGAAGCCTTCGAAATGTGGGTATATAGAAGAATTCTACGCGTGTCCTGGACAGAACATAAAACCAACCTGTCAATTATGGAAGAGCTTCATATAAAAGACAGGCTACTAAAAAAAGTAAACCAAGCATACCTAACTTACTTCGGCCACATAGCTAGAAGAACGGGCACCATGGAACTATTGGTAGTAGAAGGTAAGGTAGAAGGCCGAAGACCAAGAGGAAGATCTCCAATACGATGGGTGGACCAAATGAAGAGTTTGGTGGGAAAATCCCTACATGAAGCCGTCCATATGGCACAAGATCGCAGTCAATGGAGACAGCAGACTAATAATATTTAGGGTGTCACTACGCCCTGACAAGGGCTAAAGGATTGAGGAGGAGGACACTGGATATTCTGGGACGACATATTCGACGTAACCATGTTAAGGTTCAAATCATTAATGACTTGGAGCAAGCAGTTTGTGACGAATGGTAGTGAATCCTTCAGAAAGAATTTGCTGCCTAAATCCGAAGTATACCTGATCAAATGAGAGTCTTAATTAGGCTCGTGGAGGTAATACACCCTACTAAATAACATTTTTCATTAAGAAAATTTTAAATCTTAAAAAAGAAATTTTGGTTTCTTGGCAGATTTTGAAATTTTTTGAATATTGTATTCGTTTTTTTTTTTGTCAAATTCTTGATTTGTAACAAATTTTCCTTTTAAACTTTGTTTATTAATAAATAATTAATTGGAACGGCTTGAACTTTTTTAAACGCCAGTTTTTAGAAAAAATCCGGGTGTCCGATAAATTTTGCACTCCGGTGTATATTATTACTATGTACTTAGTATAAAAATATTAAGTCTTACCATCCATACAGAACCCCTCGTCCCTGGCAACCCGCCATTGTCTGAATACTGCAAACCAAAATAATCCTTCTCCACTAACTCAAGATGACGATAAACCTGGTCCAACAAGGTAGCGCCCTTGGCGCGTTTCTCAACATGAAAAACATGCTCAGTGTCATCTAAAAATTTCACAGTAATACTGAGAGTCTTAAGCTTTCTTTCTCTTGCTGCAGCCAGTTCTAAGGCATGGACGTTGTATGTACCACTTGAACCACCGAATGCTCTTTTAGAGACACTCTCAATCATACTTGAATGTTCAGACTAAGACAGCTACCATCTTCCTCTTATGCTGAAACAAAATGTATTCATTTAACATTGTACTTAAATGTCGAAAAAAAAATTGAATAAAACTGAGTATAAATATCTGCTTGTATTTTTTAATATACAAGAAATAGGAGAGTTGGTAGATACTAAAAAGAAACCTTATCAAATTTGGCTACAAACACAAAATTCAGAAGACTGGAGTACATACACTTATTGGAAGAGGGAAGTATGGAAATCATGAATGTGTTGCTTGTGTGAGTCCATTTCAAATAGGTAAAAGAAATAATAAATCTTAGATTTATGAAAGACTTACTCAGAATCAGTTTAATTTAACTATCTAAACCAGGGGTGTCCAACTTGGAATGCCTCAAGGGCCAAAACTAAAACCTTTGATGTCGTCGCGGGCCATATAAAAATTTTGTTACAATAACAAAATAAAGTGAGGTATAAAAATAATTAAAACAAAAAAGAGTATTATTTCTTTTATTGCTCAACAACTACACTTTTTGTTATAAACGGAAAATTTATTGATAACAATAATCAATCAATATATTTCAATAATCAAGACAAACATTGCAAAAGCAACGAAAAAGATGTATCCAATTAGTGTGAGGACTGTGGTCGATCGGCTTCATCCACCAATGAAGAAATGTCCACCTCCAGTTCAGTTGTAGACACTCTCATAAGATGACGTAAGGAAGAATCGGTAAGGTTGCTCTGTTTTTATTTTTTATGTATTTCATGGAGGAAAAGGCACTTTCACATGTATTTGTGCTTTCGAACATTGACGTCATTTTCAGTCCAAAATCTCGCAGGTTTGGGAATTTCTCCTTTGACAGTAATTTGAAAAATTCAGGTCCCTTTTTTTGTCTGGTGATTAGGAACATGTCTGCTTGAATATCAAATAACTCAAGCTGTAAGTTGGGTGGTTAATCATCAATGGTTGCTCCAAGAGGGTTAATATAAAGTAGTACACTGCTTTTGAGACTTTAAATTTCTTCAAATCTTGTTGAATTCATCAATAACTTCTTTAATTTGTGAAATGCAGGATGAAAACTCAATATTTTCCTCACCGTTGAATTAATTCGTCTGCTATTTACAGACAGCTAGGGAAGTGTGTCAGGTTGTTCTTTTCCAAAGCACCTTTAAACACGTTCCGCTTATTCCGGAATCCGTTTATCATTCCGATCAAATCTGAAACCGTCTGGTTTCTTCCTTGAAAACTCAAGTTTAAAATGTTAAGATGATTAGTCAGATCTGTTATAAAAGCTAACTGTCTTAAGAATTCTGGATCCTTAAACTTCTCTTCCAGTTCAGTCGTTTCAGATGATACGTATTTGTTGAGGAATGTAGGGATTTCCTTTCTTATGGCAAAAAATCGTTCCATGCACTTTCCTGCACTCAGCCACCTTACATAGTTGTACATTAAGTCTCCATACTCAGCCTTTGTTTCCACTAAAAACTGCTTAAGTTGCCTGTGTAAAAGAGATCGATTTTCACCTCTAATCATATTTATAATTTTAATCACGGTTTGGAAAAAGCTCCCTGATGTATAAAACAATGAATTGTTGGGCAAGTGACACCATTCTGTCGAAGCAGACCCACTAATCCAATTTTTTTACCTGTCATTGATGGGGCCCCGTCTGTTGCTATGGCTGAACATTTATCAAAGCCTCCAATTCTGTCAACTGTTTTCTTCACAGCCTCATGGATTTCTTTTCCTTTTGTTGTTCCATAAACAGGACAAATATCAAATAACTCCTCTTTACTGGTAAAATCATCAAAAATAGTGCGCACAAATATTAACAGCTGACTAACATCGGTTTGATCAGTGCTTTCATCCAAACAAAGTGAGAAATATGAACTTTTCTTAACCAGGCTAAGCATAGATTTTTCTACTTGCTCACCCATAGCAACAACCCTTCTTTGTATAGTTTGATGTGAAAGTGGCACTGATTCAAATTTCTCCGCCATTTTAGAATCACCGAAAGCTTTGGCCATTTCAACAGCACATTTTTTTATCAAATTGCCATCAGTGAAAGGTTTTTTTGCCTTTGCCAGCTCAAGTGACACGGCATAAGATGCATGCAAAGAATGCGTTTGAGAGTGCAATATTTTACTGAACATACCAGTTTGCTGTTTAAGCTTTTTATCCAAATCTGCAACTAGGGTACGCTGACTTTCATTTGTGTATGTAGCATACTTATTTTCATGCACTGTTGCGTAATGTCTCCTCACATTATATTCTTTAGACACTGAAACGACATTCATGTACACTAAGCACTGCAACTTTCCATTATTGTTAGCAATCAAGTTATCACTCTCCCAACTTTCTTTGTAAACTGTTTGTTTGTTTCTGTTCTCACTATCAATTTTCCGTTTTACTGGTTTTACACTCATTATGGTATAAGAGGAATCAAGACAAAGAATTAATTAAGTTCACTTTACACTAGCAACGTAATAGATTAGCCGACTAGCCTACGTGTCAGTAGCACACTGGCACGATGGCGGCTGGCGATGGATGGTAAGCAGTGGGAGGTGTGGACTGCGTGAACTGTAATGCGCAGTAATCAGTGCAGTTCTCATAGTGGCGGAGGACGATTGTGTTCGGTACACGTCCGCGAAGCGGCACGCGGAACAGTACTTGTGATGTAAAAACACTGCTAAACCATAAAATATAAAATAAATTAAAAAATCTTTTTTCACAGTGGCAGCATTTAAAGAAAATATATGCTTTTCGAAAATCTTACGTGGGTCACAACAAATAGCCTCGCGGGCCGGATGCGGCCCGCGGGCCGCCAGTTGGACAACTCTGATCTAAACGAACGGTTTCGCTTTCTACAATTTGCAAAGCATCTTCAGGTCTGTCGATAAAAAGTTAATTAAATGCTGAAATAATAAAACCCATCTTAGGGTGTTGTCTTATAAAGATAAACAAAAGATAAATAATATAAATTACAGTAATTATGCCAATATTACATGTCTGTGGTTTTTTTGTAATAAATAAACTGTTTAAGCAGACAAAGTAAGACCCACAAATTGGTATCAAATAATACATTAAGACTCCTGGATCAATTAATTTCAGCTGGTACATAGAGTATTGTACACAAAATCAATTTACGTGTTTTCATTTATGACCAATCTTTAAATGGAGTAATGTAAGTATTTTGACATTTTGAACGAAGAAATAACGGACGCATTAGACAATCTACCTTTACAAGAAACATGAGATAACCGGTACCAACAATATAAAAAACGAAATGAACAATGTAGTGTTAGCTGCTTTTCACTTTCAGTTTTAAATAAGTAATACATTCAAATTCATCTCATTCGAATAAAAACGAAAAGTTAAAGTTACTTACCCTAAAATATATAAAAGGTCTTAAATAACTGTTTAAATAATTAAAGGCTAGGAATTTTTTTCAAATCCTGAGAGAACTAACAAATATTTTTGAAAAATTTAAACGCAGAATGAAAGATTACATTATTACCGAGGACCGAAAGTCCCTTAGAACAAACAAAAAGTCTTTTTGAACGAGATATTTGAAATTAAAAGTCACACTAAATTTTCTCTTCTTTTTCACCCCTGTAACTTATTAAAATAAACATTATAGAAGTTTTCAGGTATTTTCGTCCCTCAGTAATAATGTAATCTTTCATTCTGCGTTTAAATTTTTCAAAAATACTTAGTTTAGTTAATTTTAGTTAATTAGTTTTCTCAGGATTCGAAAAAAATGGATGCATTTAAAAAGCATGGGCCCGAAATTTTGCGCCTACGCCATCGAGTAAAAAGACAAAAGAGGGAATCTAATCCTTATGAAAAGGAGACCAAAAAAGTGGCCTCTGATGGCGGACATATCCGGAAATGCGAATGCGCCAAATTTAAACTTTCAGACACTTATTAACAGTAGCTGTATAATATTTTTCAGAATGTGTCTTAGGCGAGAAAGTTTTAATTAATTATTAACGATAACAGTCTAAAATGCGACACAATTGTTAAAAAACTTCATTATAAATAAGATTTCATGTGACATTTGGGACAAACAATAACATAACCCAACTAAATTTGATGTCAAACAAGGAGAGAGACTCTCTTTCCTGGTTTAATGTGGCCTCTAAAGATCGCACTTTCTGTCTAACAATATTTTTGCCCCCACTACCTTTACATTCCCTCTTTTGTCTTTTTGCTCGATGGCCTACGCTCAAAGGCATAGATACGAGTGACATTATGTAAAGGTTATTATTTTTTTCTCAAAGCAACCTTTGTTTCCGTTTTTGATACTACATTAAACCACAATTCAAGAAGTATAAATTTAGATATAGGCTACTACGCTAGTTGAAAGACAATTAATTTCTAATTTTAAAGTCAGAAAATACAGGGTGTTCCATTTAAACTTAGTGACAGTGTGGCCTGAAGTTTAAAAAAATTGCGTAACATTTGTAAATATTCTTTATTTAGAAATTGGGATTCCGATGTATATTACTAAATAAAAAAAAATCAATTACTCTCTACGTCTACAAATTTTTCAAGAGTTTGGGCTTGTAAATAATGAGTTATCAAAATCTTGCAAAATTAAGAGAAGAAATTAAGAAATCTAGATATATACATTTTAGACTTGTAGGGAAGCTAGTTACGCACAAGTGTAGATTTTCACACTTTATATCTGATTATTTTCAGAGATAAGTCTAATGTGTGATTTACATGAAATCCTGTATCGCATCAAAAATTACTTAGTTTTTTACACCAACCTGAAACATACAACTTACTTGTTCTTTAAAACCACACGCAATTTTATACACTAAAACTTTCTGTTTACTTTAATAAACTAATACCTATACTATTTACTGCAAATGTTGTAGAAGCTAGTTACAAAATGATATTTAAATAGCCCACTATATTTGTCATACCTTGAATATCTTCGTCCTGAAACTTCCTAGGAAAACACAAAATTTCTAAAAAATGTGTAAAA